GAGGGGCAGCCATGGGTCCTGCCGGTGGTGAAGAAGGTGGAGCAGCTGATCGCCAGCGACCACAGCCTGAATCACGAGTACCTGCCCATCCTGGGCCTGCCCGAGTTCCGGGCCAACGCCTCCCGCATCGCCCTGGGTGACGACAGCCCCGCCATCAAGGAGAACCGGGTAGGTGGTGGGCGGGGAGCGCGGTGCTCGGGGGGACGCTGGGGTCCCCGGGGCGTCTCTGCAGCAGACCGAGCAGAAGAGCACGAATCTCGGGAGTAACTGCGTTTCGGGAGGATTTGGGGATTTTCTCTGACGTGGTCTTTGCTGGTTGTAGGGTACTCAGTGAACCTGTGTACTTGGAGCTGTTTGTGCGAGTAGTTGTAGTTTTGGGGAAAGACCAAATGTGGGCTGTGATTGGAATTTGTTTTTTTCCTTCGTCTTTTGATGGTTCCCCCTCTGGAAACCGAAGCCATGTAACAGACCACCTTTCCTGAAACAAGCTACTAGCTGGGAATCCGTTCTGTGCCAAAACGTAGCAGGAATAACTGGTGTATATTTATAACGGTAGAAGGTGTCAGGATGGGCCTGAGCACTGGAGGAGGTTGAAGGCCACCGGAAGGGGGTGGTGTCCTGGCCAGGGTGACCCCAGGGAGCACGTCTGGGATCCTGTCTTGCTGCGGCAAGCGCCTCCGGTCTCTGTGCACCAACAGCCAGGCTGACCCGGGTGGACCCTGCCGGCAACTCTCTTTGTTGCAGATTGGAAGCGTTCAGTCCTTGGGTGGGACAGGCGCTCTGCGTATCGGCGCGGAGTTTCTGAGGCGCTGGTACAACGGAAACAACAACACGGCGACCCCAGTCTACATCTCCACTCCGTCCTGGGGTGAGTGCTGTCGTCAGTGCTGCCGCCTCCTTGCAGGGGGCCTGTGGGTCGGTGGGTGAAGGAGGAGTGGCCGGGGCCTGGGCAGTGAAAGAGGGACCTTCCCCGTGTGAGGAAAGGGAGCAGAAGTGTTTCTGTTGTGTATTTTGGTGATGTTTAGGCAGATATTGGGACTGGAGAAGGTGGCTTGCTGGAGGTGGGACTTGCTTTTTTAAAAAGTGGTTTCTTTCCTCAGAGAACCACAACTCTGTGTTTGTGGATGCTGGCTTTAAAGATATTAGAACCTACCACTACTGGGATGCTGCCAAGAGGGGTCTGGATCTCCAGGGGCTGCTGGATGACATGGAGGTGAGTAAAACTGGCATGGGGTGGGCTGAGCTTGGTGCTGTGCTGTCAGCAGCAGGCTGGGCTCTTGCGTCCTGTGCCTGGAAGTGGATCTCTGCAGAAGAGACTGCCAGTGCCCAGAGCAACACTGGGCCTCTCCCTCTGCTGCGGGTGCCCAGTCTCACCTGAGCATATGACCGAGACCTGCTCTCTCCTCAGAAAGCCCCAGAGTTCTCCATTTTCATCCTCCATGCCTGTGCGCACAACCCCACGGGCACAGACCCGACTCCCGACCAGTGGAAGCAGATTGCTGCTGTTATGAAGGTATGGGCTGCTGCTGGGGCTAAAGCGGTGCTGAGGGGACAGATAGTTCTTGAGCCAGCTGGAGATGGGCTGTAGGGAATGATACGAGACATGGCAGGAGCTGAAGAGTCCCACAGGGCAGATATTGAGGGAGAGGCTGGCAGGATGCTGGTCATCTGTGCTCAGAGAATAGAAGCATCCCGGTTCTGCTCATGCCTCCAAGTTCTTGCTTTCAGACTCCGTGGCATGGGCTGCAGTGAGGTTTCTCATGCTGGAAGGATTCTCCAGGAGCACCTGCTCTTCACAGGTGCTGGATGGTAGGATAGAAGGTGGTGCATCTCTTGCGCCCTGTGTCCTCCCGAATGGGGAGGAGGCAGCGGCTGTAGTTCTCTCCTGCATTTGACCTTTTCTTGGCCACTTTAGTCTTCCTATTCCTTTAGCCCAATAGAAAGAAAATACCCCAGTCTGGTGTTGCCGGACAAGGTTTTCTTTGTATTCACCTGGAAGCTCAATGGTCTTTTTTCCCTCCTACAGGGACAGCAGGGGGTGAAGTGAAGGTTGTGGGGAAAGGGTTTCCCTCTAACACTGTTCCTCCTTGCAGCGCCGGTTCCTGTTTCCGTTCTTCGACTCGGCGTACCAAGGTTTTGCCTCTGGCAGCCTGGACAAGGATGCCTGGGCTGTGCGATACTTTGTCTCCGAGGGCTTTGAGCTCTTCTGTGCACAGTCGTTTTCCAAGAACTTTGGGCTCTACAGTGAGTGTCTGGCAGTAAGCTGGCCCAGTAGTACCATACCCAGACAGATGGGGCTGGCATGCTGGGGGGTGGGGAGAGCTCTGCTTTGCCGTGATGTGTGGGACCAATGGCTCACGTCTCTTGGCTTGTCTGCAGATGAACGTGTGGGGAACCTGACTGTGGTGGGGAAGGACGCAGACAACGTGCAGCGTGTGCTTTCCCAGATGGAGAAGATTGTGCGTACCACCTGGTCCAACCCTCCCTCCCAGGGAGCGCGCATTGTGGCAACCACACTTTCCTCCCCGCAGCTCTTTGCCGAGTGGTACGTGTCGCCAGGCTGGTGGGAGAAGGAGGGGGGGAAGTCTGTCTTCCTGAGAGGCAGGCTTGGCCAGGTGGCTCCAGACCAGAAAGGTGCCTGTCCTCACGCTCTGCATCCTGCCTACTGCAGGAAGGACAACGTGAAGACGATGGCAGATCGGGTCTTGCTGATGCGGTCAGAGCTCCGCTCTCGCCTGGAGTCCCTTGGGACCCCGGGCACCTGGAACCACATCACAGAGCAGATCGGCATGTTTAGCTTCACAGGGTTGAACCGTAAGTACCAGTTGGCCTGGTGAAGGGAGGGTTGGGCGAGGACAGTTTTGCTGGGGCTAAACTGGGCTGAACCAGTCCAGGCAGATACCTCTCTGGGACCTCACTGGAGTCCTGGTATCACTGCCTCTGTGCCTCGGCAGGAGTGAAGCATTTTAGTGGCCAGTGCTGGGAGTGTTCTGCTTGTTGCAAAAGACTCAAGCATCTCTGACTGGTTCTTTGGGCTTTTCCGAGCTGTGGGGTCAGTGCTCTGACCTGATGTCCAATTGTTTCCCCAGCTAAGCAGGTGGAGTACATGATCAAGGAAAAACACATCTACCTGATGGCTAGTGGGCGCATCAACATGTGTGGCCTGACTACCAAGAACCTGGACTATGTGGCCAAGTCCATCCATGAAGCTGTCACAAAAATCCAGTGAAGCACATGAACAACCAAACCTACGTGAAGTCACCAAAGCAGTAGTGTGTAGTCCGTTTCTTTCCCTGCTCATGGCTTGCCTTGTCCCACACCTCTTGGGGTTTAATAAAGATGGGAGCAGTAGCTCGATCAGGGATAATCATCTTTTGACCTTTTTGAAATACCCCTTGCAGTATGGTAAGCCAGTGTCCCCGGGAGGGTGGGGGCAGCGTGTGCCACCCTGGCTCTTGTTTGACTGACAGCAGCCTGTTCTTTGGGCATTTAGAGCTGTGTCTTTAGCACATCCAAACCAACTCCATGTAACTGATCAGTTTGATCGAGGCGAAGTCTGGTGCCAGTGCAATGCGTTGAGACAACAGCCGAATCGTTTGGGATCTTGTACGGCTTGTGAACTAAGGTGACTCAGTAGTATTTTGGGGAGGGATGAAGCTGTTGCTGTCTTCCACTCACCCCGAGTTCTGAGCCTTATGTGAGCAAACATTCTTAATTGTGATAATTGCTTCTTTGTGTTGCTGACAAAAAATTAAACCTCCATCTCTGAACAGTACCCCCGCCTTCTGTGATGTGGTGCCTTCAGGCTGTGCTAGCCTCCTCCCAGGCTGAGTTTAAAGCCTCAGCATCATGGTTTGTCCGCTGGGTCTTACTTTGTTTCGAGGCTTTCCCTTTCTCCCTTGTGGTGTGTTGCATCTCTAATGGTCACTATGGCTACTAATGGCCACGGCCCTACTGGGAGAGCGTAGCTGCGAGCTCCTTGTGACTCCACATGAAGCTGGCCAGTTCCTCCCATGTCCATCTTGTGTTCCTCTTTCCTCTCCCCTGCCCTGTGTTGTCCAGCCTGTCCTGTCCATCTGTATGTCCTTGCTTTCTGGATGATTGTGTGTTACCCAGCCATCTGGCCATCTCTTCCTGGCCCAGAGCTCCTGGCCTGCCACTAACGTGTCCAGAAGTGGATCATTCCTGTTCCTCCTGCTCAGTAGGCCCCTGGTGAACCACCACCTCCTCCCCCTGGCTTCAGCAGGGCCTGCCAGCAACAGCCTGTGTTTCTGGCACTGAAAAAGGGCTGGGACCATCTGCTTCTGCTCGCTGCAGTCACTGTTTGCGGATCTGTTTGTGAGCTGATATTACCACCTTGATAGAGCAGCCTCCTGCCAAGATCTTGGTGAAGGCAACAGTCCCTTAGTGATAGTCACTGTTGCCCTGGTTGATTTTGCTCATGCTACAGCTTAGACAGCAAAGGTGAAAATGGTGCCTTGTTCCCTTGCTGTGTTTGCAGAGACAGTGTGTGGGGTCTCTTGTTTGTCCTTTTCAGATTAGTGTTTGTGTTACAAGAGAGTGAGCCAGAGGCAGCCTTTCCCCTGTGCAGCTGGGGAGCTTTTTCCCCTCTTGGTGCCCACCCACAGCTGGGACGATGGGGTAGTGGATAAAGGGTGACTTCTAGACGTGATCTCAGCAGAAAGAGTTCCAAGGAACCAACTCTGCTTTTGTTGTTTCTGACATCTACCTACACTTCTGTCCTTACAGACCCCTAGGTGTGGAGCCTGGCCCACCCCACATGTGATCTGTGCCAGTCCTTTGCTGGCTTTACCAGGCTTGTTTTTCCTAATCAGTGACCTAAATTTCTCCCTTTCAGTAGCGTAAGCTCATTAGCCATTATCTCATTTACCATGGTAACAGGGAACTGATTATTCCTTTCCTCTTTGTAACAGCTTTTTATGTATTTGAAAACTTCCTCCCTCGCCTTTACATCCTTCACCAGTTAAGATTAAGCGACTCCATTTCCTCCAGCCTTTGGGGTAGGTTGTTTTCCAGCCCTTGCTTTCCTCTGCCCGCCTTTCAATTGCTGTGGGTTCCCTTAGAAGGGCAGTGCCCAGATGGGGATGCAGTTACCCCAGCTGAAGTTTTATCAGCATTGGTGGACTCTGAGATTTCTGTTGTTATCTGTCAGCCTGTACTCCAGCATGTGTATCCCACTCTTGTGTTTACAGCAGCATGATATTAACTCCTGTTCTTCCCTAGTCCTTGTCTGCACTGCGCTGGTGTGTAACTCTTGGCACTGCTGAGTGCTTTTCCGGCAGCAAGAGTGACAGAGAGCCCAGGGCACAGGGAGAAATGGGGAAGCGCTTGCTGACCTGGTCCTCTACCTGCTCCCTTCAGCTGTGCTGACTGCTGTTACTCCAGCCACTCTGC